ATGTGATGAAACGAAACAACGTTACTTCTGTGTCCTTTCATTCTTTTTTTCTTCTTTTTGTCTTCTTTTCCCAGGGGGTCCTAAGCCATCTATCTGCAGGCGCATTGTCTCGTCTGCCATGTAGGCAAGGAGAAGAAGCAGAAGAAGAAGGAAGAGAACAAAACAAGGGTCCGCTTTTCCGATGTCTGTCGGTACGAGAGAGACACACAGAGAGTTATTTCACATAACACCATGAGGGATGTGCAGAAGAGACAAGACATACAGGGCCCCTAACTTCATGCTGTTCCCTGCAAACAAACCAGACCTGTGGCAGAGACAGAGATGGATTGTCCATGCATCCATGTACCATAGTATGGCCTCTTTCCTTCTCAACTGGTTTTCTCAACCCAGCCCCCCCCCCCGGGTTTTTCAATGTGTTGTTGCGCTGGTGATAGTTTTTTTTTTTTGGCTTTGAGAGAACCGGGGTTCTATGGGTTGCAGGGGTTACATCGTGCAGGCGCCTAAGAGAAATGCAGTCTGATCGCGAGCGACGGGAGGGGACGATGCAGAGTTGCATTAGGTATCCGCACAGGCGTCCCTTCCAGCTCTTTTTGCAGAAGTGACATCAGAGAGGGGGAGGAGGAGAGGGAAAGATCATCAAAGAGTTGTGCATGTATACGTAAGTGTGTTCATAAACAGAAGCAGATCATGTCCATGAACATTGTACAAAGTTTGTTGATCAACGGCGATGATCTCCTCTCCTTGTTTTGAGGGGATCATTCTTTCCGCGTTTTCTTTCCTTTCGGAGGGAGAGGGAGCTAAGAAGTGCCTTCCCCGGGATCATCCCCAGATGACCCAGTCTCTTGGTAACGTGCTGAACCTTAGGGAAGGAGGGGATCCACCATCGTGGCTAGTGGGCCCCGTTCCGCTGTGGTCTCTGCCCGATTTCCTCTTCTTCTTCACCGGTGGGGGTTTGCTTTTTCTGTCTGAATGCATCGAGGCCTACGATGCTATTATGGCGTGGCTATGTTGCCTTATGTTCTAGACTCACGATAAAAAAAAAATTGTCACGAGGGAAGTAGACAGGACTATGGTTATCGAAGGGCAGGGAGGAGGAGGAGGAGGAGGAGGAGGAGGAGGAGGAGGTTCTTCTTGCCTTGCCTTTGGTGGAGAGAAAGGGGGGTGTGGAAGGTAGAGAGGATCCCAGCGATCGAATCGGCGAGCGGGAGTGGCTGGATTGGGGGGTGGGAGGGTGTGGTCCTCTTCCCTTCCTCTCCCTCTCCTGGGGTGAAATCGATCGGGGACAGATCGTAGTATCGTACTTATCCCTGCTCCCATGTCTGAAATTTGACATTGAATGTATTATTTTTTGTTTATTTTAATGATGGATAGGAGACAAGGTAGATGAGGCCTGCTTGGAGGGTTTTTGTTCCTTTTGTTTTCAAGAAGCATATACTATGGTACATAGTGCCTGCAGTGCATTGCACTAACCGTAACAAGTCATCGTCATGATGCCTGGAAACCGGTCAAGGAGGGAGGGAGGGACAGCGTGGGAATGGAAAGAGGGTGAGATCTCGCTCTACCATAGTAAGAGAGATCCCGACAATGTGGGTCGGTGAGATCTTGCTGAACTGAACCGCCGCACCCGCCAGACCGGTCGACCGTTCTCTGCGCACACCCTTGAGCGCGCCGTCGGCGCCTCCTCCTCTCTTTTCCCCCTCTCTCTGCCATTCCTTAATTTTCCCGAGAGTCTTAGGACATCACACAAATAGTGCAGGTGGTACAAGCTGACGCCACCTACCCTTGGAGTAGACAAAGAGGAGGGGAGGGGCGTTGGATCTGGCTCGGATGTGAACAGGGGCCGCCGCCCGGTGGAGGATGGATTTTCACTGGTGGGGACTATTCATGCTTTCCCTCCTCTTTCTTGTTGGGCATGAATCTTTGGTCAGAAAAATCACATACAGGAATTGAACCCGGAAGAGTTTGGTGGTGAGGAACCTGGGGGGGGGGGTCAGCGTGAGGATTTGTGTGTGGGTCCACCCTTTTTTTTTTCTTCTCTCTGGATTTTTTGTTTTCTTATCCTCCTTGCTTGAATGTGCATACATAGTACAAGGGTCATCGTGTCACCCATAAACCGGTCTAGGTACTGTATACGACATACATAGGATGTAGGGGAGAAAACCCTTTGGGCCCAGCGTTTGGGCTTGAGGAGCGGCATGAATAAGACGGGGCCGCGACGGAGCGGGGCCGGAGGAGGGGAGGAAGAAGGAGGGGAATTTCGCAACGGGCTGACGAAAGCGCCAGACCTGACCAGTCGTTCTAATCGGTATGTGGTGATGTAAATCCCCGGGATCTGGGAACAAGGTGAGCTGAAACTTGTTCGAGGGAGAAAGAAAAGGAAAACACGAGAGGCCGTGCCATGCATGCTTGGATGGTGAAATGGAGACGACCCTGATTCCTTTTTTTTTCCCTCCCCCCCCCGGTGCTCTTTCTCTCACCAATTTTGGACGACAGGTGAGGTCTGGGTGCAGAATGAAAACGATGTCGAGATCAGAGCAGGTGCTATTATTGAAGTATGCTCCCTTGGGCTTGGCTTGTACGACAGCGGCCAGTGTTCCGCTCGTCACACCCCATTGAGCATTTCAGCCATCTTTTTGAAAGGGGGGGGGGGGAGGAAGGAAAATAGAAGAAAGAAGAAGAAAAAAGCAAAGAAAAACACACACAACAGCACACTGCCCTCTCTACCTACAGTTTTGTCACACAGACACACACACACACACACACACACACGTATATCCCATCTCGAATGTCCATTGCCATCGCCGCCAATAATTCTCCAACGCCCCGCCTCCCACCCTTTCACCAAACGAAATAGTCACATGCCCGCCCCGCCTATACGGTACCGCTAGCTAAGCCGTTGTGCGACGGCGACACAGAGACATACATAACAGACAGCAGACAGGTCGAGAAATGGATGATAGACACTCTCGGCGGTCCCATCATCCGGTTTCTTTCTTGGTCGTACATGATACGGAAGTTATTTATTCGTGTAGTAGTCAATCATTCTCGTTTTGTCCTCGGAACTTGCCGCCCTAACAGCTTCTGCCGCCAGCGCGACTTGGGTCTTGTCCTATGCATTTTCTCCTCTCTCTCCTTTTTCCATGGTACAAGGTCAAAGACCAACTTTGTTGTCCTTGTCTGCCTGTCCCTCAACCGCAATGGGCAGCAATGAAAAAAAAAACCAACCAAAAACCCACCAAATTGTCCCGGTCCACTGGGTCCTCGTGTTTCACCAATATAAGAAATCCTTCCCCTGGGTCGGCGGTATCCAACGCCCACACCAACCCAAGCCTAACCCCTTCCCATCAATTATGATCCGCGCAGGCATCCATGATCCATCCCTCTCTCTTCTCTCTTTGTGTGCGTGTCTCTCTCTCTCTGTACTTTTCCCTCCTCCCCCTTGCCCTCCTCCCCATGCAACCTCACTAGCTTTCGCCCTGGTCACCTCCATCCAACCATCCATCGTAGTACTATATTATGTACTCTAGTAGTTGCGGAAAAAGGAAGAAGAGAAAAGGCCCTGCAATCACGCAAGCAGGATCGCGGCTCAGATCGGATCTGATCCGACCCCCACTTCTGCCCATGTCACTTATTCCTCTTTCCTCCTCCCCCTTGTACATGTGCACAGTAGTATCTTGTCTTCTTCTTTTTTTTATTGCTTTTTCTCCTAGTAGCCAGTGTGCGGCGTGGCCCTGGAACTCCCAGTTCCCTCCCCCCCTCTCTTTGAACCCCCCCCCCAACCCATCCATCTATCTACCACATTCCCAATTCTCATTTTTCCATACTTCTTCGAACCTTGTTGTCTCTCGGCTTTTTTGCTTCCCCCCCCCGAGATCTGAGATCTGGTTACGTGCTCCTCCCCCACCCCGGTTTAAACCTTGTGGGCTAACTAAAGGGTATTTGCTTCTTCCTGTTCCTTGTATGTGCGTGTGTGTGTGTGTCTCTCTCTCTATGTGTGTGTTTCTTTGGTTCTTTCATGTATTTGCTGAATTGTCTCATCTTTTATTTCTTCCTTTCCCTTGTCTTCTTCAATTCTTCCGTGCCGCTCCCGGCGCTCTGGGTCACCCATCATCCATCATCAGCCTCTCTCGTATTTTATTTTATTTTCTTTTGCCTCCTACCCTCCACTAACTCTAACCACCCCGGCGGCCCACCAACAGACCACATCTTAGACCCATGAAATGATGACGAGAGACTCTCCCGCCCTCCGTACTTAGTTCGTAGGAACATGCTCCACTAAACTTGCTTGGGACTTGCTCATAGCTGAGAAGAGACACTTGGGAGAGAAGACGGGGGAGGAAAAAAAAAAAAGAAAAGAGGCACTTGTATTGAGCATCGGAAAGGTGTGCTGCACATAGCTTCTTCACAGGCATTTTTGCTCATCTGGGACCAGTAAATCTCGGAAAAATTTATTGGGGTTCTTTTCATTATTATAACTGTGCGCTGTACAATAGAAAATTAAGCTGCGTTGAGCTTGTACGCAAAATATAGCGATGGAATCGCCACTGTAGCAATGATAACTGTATCCCGCAAAGGAATGGCAAGGCGAGGCGAGCCTAGAGCGTTCACCTCGCCGACTTCTCCAACAAAAGCAAGAAGAAAGACTGAAAAGATGAACCCCAATAGCAAACAGAAACAACAAAATATCAATCAAGGACCCAAAAGGAGAATTCCCAATAGTCACTGAGGCCGCCGAGTCCTCTTCATTAGAGAGGCAGGACCGACGGCGGGTATCTTCAAGCACCAGAAAATCCAAAATAATCCCAGAGCCATCCGAATCCAATTGCGCAGGTGATCAGTCCTAGCGCGGCCGTCCTATACTCCGTTATTTTGGTCTTCCGCCAGCCGTAAAACTCCGTCGAAAAGCAAAGACATCTGTTCCTCCCCGCCCACCAGGTCCCCCATGCCAAATTTTGTGTTCGTACAGAAAGAGAGGGGGAGGTGAACAACTGCTCATCCGTTCAGTGAGACCGGTTGGGCAGGATGGCGAAGGAGTGATGTGGTGACGGCAGCCGCCGGCCGAGCATGTCTCCATAGGAGGGGCCAAAGACTTCCCTAAGTGAAGGGAGAGTGATGGGCTGTGCTGCGTACGACTGATGCGCGGGTTGATGAGCCTGTGGGCGGCGATCCTCGGCACGGGGAACATGGCTGAGGTGGGAGAGGTGGCCTTGAGAGGATGTAGACCTGGAACGGATGTGTCCGCCGAAGTCCGTGTCCTCATCCATGAAGGAATCTTTGCTCTCGGCCGGCCAGGAGGGAAGCCGGAACTGTCCATGTGGGTAAGGGCGGTCGTGGGCAGAGCGTGGTGAGTCCACAATAGACTCGTGGTCAGACGCCAGCGAAGGGGGGTAGCCAGTAGACGTGGTGCTAGGACGACGAGAGTGCGACTCCTGGGGGTAGTACGTGCCCGGAGTCGTGCTGTGGTCGAAGGGGTGCTGGGGGGCCTGCTGCTGCTGGGCCGACAGGGGCCGTGGCGACACAGGAGTGGAGGGAGTGGGAGTGACACGGGCAGCGGCGGCGGCGGCGGTAGCGGCCTCCAGCTTTCTCTTCACCTTCTTGGACTCCTGGTAGTAGTAATTCTTGATCATGTTCTCGGGCCGGTTCATGATACGACCAAGCTCGGCCCACTTCCTCTCGTTCATCTCGGCCCAGTGGCAGATGAAGGCCGACTCGGATGGGGTGAACTTCTTCTTGCACTCAGAGGGCCACTTGAGATGCTCATTCCACTTCTCACGGCACTGCTTGGCCGTGCGAGGCTTTGAGGGGTTCTGGCGCGAGTACTCGAGGCACAGCTCGCTCCACGGGATCTGAGACCTGTTGCCGTTGCGGTGCGGTCGCGGGCTGTGCTCCGTCTCGTTGAGATAGCTGCGCACGATCCTCGAGAGGATGTTGCACTCCTCCTCAGACCAGGGGCCCTTATACTCGCTTCGGCCTGCCAGCTGTCGGCTGTTGTCACGCCTTCGTGTCGGTATCGAGGCCGAGGCCTGGGGCGACTGCTGTTGGTGGGTGCTGGCCTGCATGTTGGCGATATGTGTAGTTGTTGGGTGTAGGGGAGGAATAGAAACAAGTATGACTCTGCTGGCCGTTGTGTAGGACAACAGCCTGGAATCGCGAAGGGGTTGGTGGGGCCCACGCAAGTGGACTGGGAAGATTGATGCTGATGCTGATGCTGATAAAGAATGGGAATGAGGATGGTGACGACGCTCGCTTATGACAATGCAAATGCTTGTTGGGGACGAGGATGAGGACGAGGACGACAGACTCTTCTTGTATTTGGTCTGGAAACTGCCTCTTGCGTTGTGGGGAGAGGGGGAGACTGGACTGGAGCGAAGAAATGTGTGTGGACACCAGAAGTAGGAGGGGGAGGAGTCCACGTCGGAGGGAATGCAGGCGTATAAGTTTTATATCAAACGGGAGCACATGGCATTTGGGGGTGGGAGGGAATGGTAAGAATGGTAAAGACGGTGGAATTTGTATGCCAAGTACCTTTTCAGATAGATCCGCGTTCTCGATGGGGAGCTACTCACCCCTGCGTCTGGTCAACGGCCTCATAGCCTACCTTCCTAGTCTTGGGCGGGTTTTAGCCTCGAGGTGGGCTCTGGATGATGGAAGTATCGAGTGACTCGGTACTTTGAGGGCTGGGGAAAGGGGGGGTCAGGACCCAGTGATTTACTAGGGTACATTTCTCTCTCTCCACACAGCCCCTCCGCAACCCATGTACAGTTCAGGGACAGGGACATCCATTCCAGGCCTCGCTTCGCGCAATCATGAGGTACCCTGGTGCTGGCTCGTGACTTCTCACGAGGGGCACTAACATCGACAGCTATTCGCCCTAGTACTTGTCATCCACGATGGGCCCAGACAAGGGGAGGGGTTGAGCTGCAAATACTACCCAAAGACGTTAGCGGAAATCTGGACTCTGAAATAAAATACGCAGCTTCCCTCTACCGCGGTCATTTACGGCGGGTCCACTTGAAAGCACAAATCGGGAAAGATCGTGAGTCAGTCTGCAGCTGAAGAAGTTGAGGGAGGACAGGCAAGAACAGGGCAGGTCAATGGCTCCTGCCTTTGCGATTGGGTAGTTGTCGTATCAGTCATTATTACGGATTGTCCCTGGGCATGTCATCGTTCCCCCCTTACAATCTCTTGTACTGTGCACAATTCTTGCCAGCCAGTTGCCCTTTCGGCCGACAACTTGAGAAAATCTGATATCACATCACAGTGCCATCCACACTTATCCACAGACCCCAGATCTCTTCTGCCTGTTGTTACGCGAACATTAACCATGGCAGGGTCCCTGCGGAATGACGGAACGGTTCCTCGTCGGCCGCCCTCTCCACGACGATCATCATCATCATGATGCTCCTTCTCGTCCCCCCCCCCCCCCCCGCCTCCGTCACTCCTCCTCCTGCTCCAGCATCAGCTGTAGTACCTGAACCAAACACCGTCACCGTCACTGCCATCCAGGGTGGAGAAGATACACTTTCTCGCGTTGCTGGCATCATAGTATGAGCACGGTATCGCATCCACAACAGTGCGGCATTGCATACAACGGCACAATGGTCTTCTCCGCCGGACGAAGACTAGCCGGATTTGGAGTTTATTGTCGAAGCACATGAGGCGATGCGCTGTGGCATCGCCTCAGCTGGAAGTAGTGTTGGCCTGCCATCCTCGTCACTATCACTTGTCACTTGTCACTGTCAACCTATCACTGTCACCAATCTGCTTGTGAAACCCCTATGCCAGTTACTGGAAGGAAACCTCCTCTCAGACCCGCACAACTCGGTTTTCGAAAGAGCACGAACAAAAAGCACGATTCCCTCCTGTTCCTGGCAGCGTGGTGTGGTTGGTGGTGGGGCTCAGATCCACTGCTTCGGCCCAGCGTTCGTTAACAGCGAGGATAACAACAACAACAACAACAACAATAACATTAACACCATCATAGTGTATTTTCACAGCCCTGGCGTCTCTACTATGGGGAGTGTAATTCACAACCTTCAGCGAACGCAATGGCGATCCTACTTGATCCGTGGCTCCGACAGTCCGAGATCGCCATTCAAAGGATCCACCACGTGTTCTGCGACCAAGAAGAACAAAAGAAAGGCACAAAGAAAAACATGGCAACAGGGGAAATGAAGATGGATCCTTTCTGAGCCACAGCGATTTTGACTGATTGCCAGCTGCTCAAGCAGCTCATTCGGACATCAGCCTCAATGTGCGTGCCGTCAGATGTTAAGATTTGATGTGCGATCATCTTAGCCCTCCCCATGGGCCTCTCTCAAAAGGATCCGTCGTACCCAGATCCAACTCCGATCCAGGATGCAGCCTTGTCCAGACCCCTCCCTGAAGCCATGTGCTCGCTACGTCTGGGCGTTGCAAGGGGGGGAGGGGGGGGCAGCCTCTGAGGCGAAGGACCCCTACCGCCTAAAATGATCAGTGAGCTGGACCCGTGATCTTAGTAGCCAAGCATTTGGGAAATTGAGGTGGCCCTTGCGGTTTGCTTCCCATTTGAGAACTGTGTGGTACAGAGTTCCTAGCTGGCCATTCCAGGGAGGTTATCCAACGCTATGACAGAGGGAGAGCCTCAGCGCCTGCAACGGGAGTCGCTAGACCTCAAGAAGTGTTGGGCAGTCGGCAATATTGTGGGCGTGGGGTCTTAAAATCCTTTACGGCCGTTTGACATGGCGAAGGATCAAATGGCTTCACCGGTCAGACCACCAGTCCCGGCTATCGCGTCAAATTGTCTCCCTCACCACACTTGGAGCATCATGCAGCAGCGCGACAGCGGAAAATATCTTCTACTGCTTGCATGAAGCAAAACCCGCTGCGCATCATATTCTGCCCACGTCGCAACACCACATCTGCCAATGAGTGCCCTAGTGTGGCAAGCCTCACCGCTTCTCGAGCTCACCATTGGTTCGAAGCCTGCACATAGTAAGGAGCCGCCACAATCCCCAGCATGAAATCATGAAAAATGTCTTTGAGGATCTTCAGTGCAAAGCTCGCAATCTGATATTGACTGGGGACGACACGATCTTCAGCCTTTACGTCGGCAGGCCGAGCTCCGCTTCCCATGCTGTACCGCTCCATCGGGTACTTTTAAGTCAGGATGCGTTTCTGCTCCAACACACACGCTGGAATCCTGTCAGTCAGCTCCTCAGCTCAGAGTGGGCCCTCACGGCTATGAGTTTAAGCTTCTTCCCTCATCCCAGATCCCAGACGCCAGGGGCTTGCCCCCCGAGCCGGACGCGCTGATCTTCCCGGGTGGCTGCTGACTCGAGACCCGGGACCCAAAGTGCTGGGTTTCGCACGCCCGAGTCGATGGGAAGCAATTCCGCGTTCGACTGGCCCGTCTTATACCTATATGTCGCCCTGTTATAGACGATCGTCTGGATGTCAAGTCTTCCGATATGTTTCAATCACATCGATGAGCATCTAGTCCCTGTTGTCCTAGCGATCTTGTTCGGACTGAAGCCGATCTATTTCTGGAGCTGATCGATACGAGGCCGGACAGCAGCAACATCCTTGGCCTGGCTCATCTTGAGTTGAGACAAGCGGCCCTGCACTGCTAGAGCATTGATCAATGACTAGGAGGCGCGAGTGGTCTGCTCGGCTCGTGCGCGATTCGAAATGGAAGAGAAGAAGAAAAACCATGGCTGCTTCTACGAGAAGACGGCGTGGACGCCTCATTGCGCAACCGCCGCGTTGCCCTCCCGACGTCTCCATCTGAACTCCTAGGTGGTTCGCTGTAGCCCACCTGTCAGCGACTTACTCGTGGGCGATCTTAGGGCGACCGTTGTGTGAAGAGAGGGAGACCGAGGAAATGCGGGCTGGATGCGCTATGCAGAAGACATGGCGCCAGACTAGCCAGACGGCATAACCAGAGGGCTGGGAATGGTACAAGATGGCTTGAGCGAGAGCGCAGAACCCTCAACGATCAGTGCCGGGGAGAGGACGGGAAGAGGCCACAGTAGTTCTTCCTCACCACAATGAGCGGCTGAGACTGCCTCATCTTCCAATTGACAACGCCTCTCGTCTAGCGTACCATCCCACTGGAACTGGCTGCCAAGCTTGAGAGCCATTCCCGACCAACAACCCTCGAGGACCGACCGACTCAACCGACTCACACACTCATTCACTGACTCTATCACGGATCTCGTCGACACGGCACTTGAGGTAATCTCGACGACCAAGGCGAGAGCCGAGCGGTACATGCCCTTTCATGCTGCGCACCGGCTTCATAATTCCACGTGCGGCTGCAGCTTATGGTCAGCATTCTCTTGGACCCATAAACCCAAATCCTCGGGAAGCGAGAGTATAGTAAATGGTCCAGCCCTCAAGCCAATCTGACAAGTTGATCAAGGGACGAGGGGGGTGGTTGGTGCCCTGGATCTAAACGATGTCACCCCGTGAGGAGCCAAGGGCTAAGAGAGAGAGAGAGGTAGGAGAGAGGTGGTAGGGGCATCGGATGATGCATCATAGCCTCGCATTGCAGAGACAAATGTAGAATCCTCCTCGATCCTAAAGCGAAACGAGAAGAAGAAGAAAAAGCACCTCGCAGCGGTGGTTTTCAAAAGATGTCAGCCAGCGGTAATTTGAATCTGATCACCAGTCGCGCAGATGAGGGTGTGAGACAAGGGCGGTCACGCGGATTGCACAGACTGCACCGAAGCTCTGGGCCGCCCTTGACAGGAGGATGGGTAAGGCTGTATCTACCACATGCGGAGCACCAGAGGACGTCCCACCTGCCAATATTCCTTCCACAGATCTTCTTCATGGATTTGGTCACGGAGATCGTCACCGATTACGATCACGTCTTCTTCTTACAAATCTTGACAAGACAAAAAGATATCACAGACGCATTTCTCAGATTGGCGAGGCCCATGCTGAAGCCCGCGAATTTACCAAAATACACCGAGGGCGTGTCGACAAAGATGCTCTCTCCCTGTTGTCCGGCCTGCGGAGGATGCGGAACTAGGTGGAGCTATTGGGTTGCAATAGGCAGACATTTTCTGTCTCC